CTTTGCTTTTTAAATGCCTGCTTATGGTTTTTTGTAAAATTTCTCCTTTTCCCTTCCCTTCTCTTATTTTCCACATGTTTCAACCCACTACATAGATAAGACTATATATAATAGAATGTTCTTGTTTATATTATGAAAATGGGCTTTTGTTTTAATTTAAAAATTGAATTGTTTTCTATATCAGTCTGATTTTGTACCTGATACTTTGCCTCATTTATGTTTGTCAGATGACGTTTCTCCTGTGTGTAATCAGTGAATACTAAGTTATGTGATTGATACATTAAGCTATTACAATTATAAGTTATGGTTTTGTGTTACTTATTTTTCCCCCTATAATCAAGTTTTCTACATTTTGTGGTCTAGAATGTCACAGGAGTAAAGGAAGAATTTACAAAAGTTATTCATAGATTATAATGAATCTTTGGACAATTTTATTTTGCCAGGAAAAATATGCAGGCTAAACATTTATGATGGCTAATCCCATTAGCCTTCCTACTGTTAAACATTCCATACAATATTACATGAACTAATTAGAAGTAGATAATGGACACAGATGTTTTAAAAACATTGGGACAGTTAATTGTGTGACTGTAGACCTGCTATCACTTGTTACTATACAAGCTCCCCTTAACATTGTTCACAATTTCCATGCTTGCTGTTACTCTTTTTCTTTATTCTGATTTTTACCTTCCAGCCTCTTCTTGCTCTACTTCTCTTTCATAGCCAGAATTACATCTTTTTTAAATGTTTAATTTTCAGCATAATTTTGAGGTAGTAATGTAGAAGTATAACAAAAAAATTAGTGAAAGTACCTTAAATTGGAAATATTTTGTAGAGATAAAAACTCCCAAGCTCTGGGCCAGAGCGCATCCCGTTGGTTAGAAACTTTCCCTCCACCTAGCTAGCCTGGGTTTAAGCCCTGGCATTCTATATGATCCCCAAGCTCCAGGAGAAGTGGTCTCTGAGCATGGAGCCAGGAGTAAGACCTGGGCACTGTTGGGTGGGGCCCCCAAACAAAACAAACAAAACAAAACAAAACAAAACAAAACAAAACAAAAACACCCTTCCCAAGACCCTAGCATAACTTGGAGTCATTGGTGGAGGGATGTCACTCTGGTGGTGTTGGAACACTGTATGCCAGAAACTGTTCTGATCTAGTTTGCGAACCATGGTGCCTTAGTTTAAAATGCATTTTTCAAAAGAAACCATTAATTATTTTTAAATGTGGTAACAATATAATCCATTTTAACAAAGACAGGATAAATCTGGGAACATTACATTGTGGTAATGTGGTAAGGGAACATATGTCTCTCATGTGTGTTGTCTTAAAATAGACCCACATCAACACATAGGAAGGAGGGAGCTATTGTGATGAACCAGGTGTGGCTTTCTGGATTAGAGTGATGTCAGGACAGACAATGAATTGATCCAGATGTATTGTGAAAGAGAAAGAGAAGATTTATTGAAAGAAGGACGTGGTGGGAAAGTGGTTATGAAGAACTGGCTCAGTGTTTTTATTTTTCTGAAGTGGCAATGACTGGAGAAAACCTGTATTTGGGGTGGTTAAGAAGTCAAGTAACATTTTGGATATTATTTTAGGTCCAAAGTGAATATATCGAATAAGCAAGTGAATAATGACTGTGCAGGTGAAAGAAGATGAAGGTAGACTCATTAGCATGCACTATTTATTATTATTACTATTTGGGGGCAACAGCCAACTGCTCAGGACTTCCTCTTGGCTCTGTACTCAGGGATCACCCCTGACCAACTCTAGGGATTAAATGTGGTGCTTGGGGAATCTAATCAGCACTTGCTGCTTGCAAGCTTTCTTTTCCACAGTGTCTCTTTGGTTCCTAATATTTTTTACAAAATCAGGAGTCTTGAGTCCTAGGAGATAACTTAGAGATCTGGAGACGTGCTTTGCACGTGGGAACCCAGAGTTTAATCCCCACGTGGCCCCTTACACGTGACCAGGTGTCCTCCAAAGGGTCCCCCCTCAATAAATAAATAAATAAATAAAACACCTGAACCCCGCTGAAATCAATAGGTTTAGAGTACAGATATAATATATGGTCCATGACCAATTTCTTGGCTTCCACAATTAGTAACTTTTACGAGAAAGACCAGTTGTATTTGTGTATAGCATAGGGGTTGTTTCATTAATATAGATGCTCAGGAGCAATTTTTTTTTACATTTTTTTCATAATTTCATTTATTTATTTATTTATTTATTTTTTAATGCTTTAGCTTATTTTTTATTTTTTTAATTTTTTAAATTTTTTAAATTTTTTTTTATTAGTGAAACACCATGAGGTACAGTTGTAGATTTACAATTTTTTGTGCTTGGGTTTGATTATACAATGATCAGATACCCGTCCCTCCACCAGTGCCCATTTTCCACCACCATGGATAATATCCCCCCACCCCCATCCCCCCACCCCCCCTGCCTCTGTGGCAGGGCAATCCCCTGTGTTCTCTCTCTCCTTTTGGGTGTTGTGGTCTGCAAAAGAGGCATTGAGTGGCAAACATGTTCAGTCCATAGTCCACTTTCGACATGCATCTCCCCTCCCTCCTGGGAGGGTCCTCCAAACACCCTTTATTTGGTGTTCCCTTCTCTATGTGAGCTGCCCTTTCCTCTAGAATGCCCAACTGGCCACTAAGCTATGGAGTAATCCTCAGGAGCAATTTTTTGAGCAGAGAGATAGCCCTAACGTTTGGGCGAACATTCTTTGCATGAATTAGGCCTGGGTTTCATCCTTGGCACTGCAGGAGTGCCCCAAACACCACCAGGGATAACCACTGAACACATGCTAAAGCTCCTTAGCGCTGCTTGTATGGTTTCAAAACAAACAAACAAACAAACAAAAAGATGCATTTCTCTTTGTGGATTATTTTCATTGAAATGACAATAACATACACGTGAATTATTGTAACGTATATCATAATTTCTTCGATAAGTTAACATCTGCCATTACTATATATTTCTTTTCTTAAATGAGAACTTGTAAACATTTTTTTCTAAGCAACTTTAAATATAAAGTATGGTATTCTAAACTCTACTTGTAGTGCTGTTGATCTCATCTCTGACCTTTATTATCCTCATACTGGAATTTTTTCTTTTCAACTACTTTACCTCTCCCTGCACACCTGCCTCTGGCAGCCATTGATTTCTTTTTTGTATCATGAGTTGTACACCTGCCCACTTCGATTCTATTTGTGATATAAGCAGTGTTTGTTTCCCCTGTCTTATATCACTTAACATGCCCTCAGATCTATACCGTGTTGTTCAAATAGCAGCATTTTTTTTCTTTCTATGGCTAACAATATACGGATATCTGGGTACCTCAGACATAAGGCAGTTTTGGTGTCAGAAACCAAAATTAAAGCAACTATTGCAATAAAATAAGGCATATAATTGTTTTGATTTTCTACTGAATTGACGTTACTTTTAAAAAGCACTGTAGTTTATTAAATGTGTAGTAGACATGTCTAAAAATATATAAATCTTGATTGTCATAGAGAAACAAAGTAAACACTTACTATAAGAAAAGATGGTCCCAGTGGACTTGCTTGCGTGCTGTCATCACAAGTCTTCAGTTAGTGAAAAATACAGTGTCCCTGAAACTCAAAATGTGGTATTCCTGTAGTAATCATCTTCCAGTGGATACTTAGGGTATTCTCATTTTTTAGCTTTTGTAAATAATGCTGCAGTGAACATAAAGTAGCAGTTATCTGTCTACGATAGTAAATTTATTTCTTTTAGATAAATATACCTGTAACTAGGATTGCTGGACTGCATCCCAGTTCTGTGTGGATCTTTGTGAACCTCCACACTGTCCTTTGACTTACATTGCTATCAATCAAGGCTTCCTTTTTTTTGGATGTAGTTTCACTTATTTTTTATACGTTATGTTTTTAACCAAATATCATGGATATCTCTGTATATTAAAATATCTGTCCACTTTAGAATGTATGCAACCATATCATTTTACCAGTGTGTTGTTAAAATTATGATATGATGTATAGTACGTGTCCCTCTTCTCCACTATTTAGCTCTTAGATTGTCAGAGGTCACTAAATTCTTATTCAGGTTGAAAGAGTTTGCTAGCCAAGTCTCATTAACAGGGATGCCCTTTGGCCTTCTTTCACCATTTATTGTCTTTTTCTTAAAAATAAGTAAGCCCATCATTGAAGTCTTTATTTTTAAAAACAGTTGTCATCAACATGAAAAATTTGGGATTCATGAGGAGTGTGATTAAACGTTTGCTGTTGCTGATGTCAGTGTCAGCATGGAGAAGCAGATGAAAGTCCTGTTTATAAATTCTATAAGAAGATTCAAGACAATGATAACAGGACTTGCCTAGACACAGCTAATGCTGTTCTTATTTTAGAGCTGAGTTGATTCCTGTCATAACCCCATAGTTTTGGCTTGATTATTCTTTGTTTTCAACAGTCTAAACTATAAAATGAACAGACAGTTTCTAAGAGCAGTGTATTTCGTACTTATGCATCATATATATTCTTAAAGGGAAATCTAGTCAACCAATTTGTATAGGTGAGGGAGTTGATGATTTGGTTACTGATACTTTAGAGAAGAACACAAAGAAACATCACAATTTAGATACAAATAGGATTCCACAGTTGGGTTTTTTTTGTTTTTTGGTGTTTTTTTTTTTTTTTGTCTTAAAATCTCCCTAGCCAGGGTATCTAGAAAGAGATGAAGGCAGTCATGTATTTGAAATTCAGCAGTACAGATTTTTTTGTGTTTGGTTGTTTGGTTGATTTATGTTTCACACCCAAGCATGCAGAGTTGGAAGTACTCCTGACCTTGCGCTGGGGACCAAACCCAGGCTAGCCACAGGCAAAGCAAGCTTGCCAACCCTTCTACTATCTCTGTGACACCACACTAAAAATATGTTTTCAACTTAAAATATTAAATGCAATGTTTCCGTACTATAATAACGGTCATCTTAATTTTTCTCCTTTTCTTCTGGTTTCAGAGGAAGAATTTGTCACTTTTCCTCAGCATTAGTTTGTTGACTTTCTGGGGCACCTCTCTTTTGGGTGCCCGCTTATACTGGATGGGAAACAAGCCACCGAGTTTTTCCAACTCTGACAACCCAGCCGCTGACTCGGACAGCCTCCTGGCACGAACACTCACCTTCTTCTACTTGCCAACCAAGAATCTCTGGCTACTGCTGTGCCCAGACACCCTCAGTTTCGACTGGTCAATGGATGCAGTGCCTCTGCTCAAAACAGTGTGTGATTGGAGAAACCTCCACACCGTGGCCTTCTACATTGGACTCCTCCTGCTGGCCTACTATGGTCTGAAGAGCCCCAACACAGAAAGAGAATGCAATGGGAAGTTTGTCACGAACGGCAAGCAGAATGCAAACGGCCATAGCTGCCACTCAGAGGCGGATTACCAGGACTCTGAGATTCAACTCAGTTTTGCATCCAACATGGAAAACGGCATTCAAGATGAGGTCTCACCGAGAACACAGCTTCCTTCCACGGAGAACATCGTTGTTTTGTCTTTATCTTTGTTAATAATACCCTTTGTTCCTGCCACGAACCTGTTTTTCTATGTCGGCTTTGTAATTGCAGAGCGTGTATTGTATATTCCAAGTATGGGCTTCTGCCTCCTCGTTACTGTGGGTGCCAGGGCCCTTTACGTCAAAGTCCAAAAGCGGTTTCTCAAGAACTTGATTTTCTATGCTACAGTTATGTTAATTGTCTTCTACGGACTCAAGACTGCAATCAGGAACGGAGACTGGCAGGATGAGGAGATGCTGTATAGGTCAGGGATCAAAGTTAACCCAGCCAAAGGTAATAGTTTACTCTGTGCTTTTGCCTGCCTGCACTGTTTACTGTCTGACTTTTAAAAAAATCTCTTTGCTTCTTGCTTTAACACAGTACTAAGGGAAAGGAAATAGAAGTTCTTCCAGGCAAGATGACTTCCTCTGTTTTTAAATTTAAGTTGTACAGAGAAATCTTCAACATTACCTATTTTAGAGAAGAAAATACTTTTCTCTAGACTATTTGTCTAGAGGAATTAGAAGTCCTATTGTGGAAAATATTATCATAAGAATTTAGAACATGCTCAGATTCCACATTTTAAAATACTGATAATGCTTATCACCTCTCTTATTGTATAACAAAGTTCTGGTTATTCAGTGTACTTTGCTCCTGTTTTCAGTGTGTTTCCTGAAGCAATAGCATGAGACTTCCATTGATATATTTGAAATAGTTGGAGGAAAACCTAAACAGATTCTTGGTTTTGTGTTTCTGCCTGTCAGTGTGTGTGTGCTGGCAGAGGACAAAATTTTGTGGGTGTCTGAGCTGGAAAGATAGCACCATGGGCAGAGCTTACTATCTTTTACATGTGGTCAAACTTGATTTTATCCTCAGTACCACAAATGGTCCCCTGAGTGCAGCCACAGTGGTACCTAGGAGCAGAGTCATGAATCATGAGTTTGGTGTGTGGCCCCTGGTGTGAGCCCCAAACAATAACAACAAAATAAAAAACTGAAACTGGGTGTTGTCAAATACTTAGCATGCTATTAGGGGTTCTTATGTTACTTGGGGAAGCAAACTTCTCTGTAGCATGGAAAGGGAAAATTGGCATGTTTTACAGCGTTATTTTTTTATTTAGAATCTAACTTGAGAAAATCTCAGAATATATAGCCAAAGTAGAAAGCAGTTTACTTTAAGAATAACAAAATCTGGTTTAAGTAGTTAAATGGTGATGGAAGCTAAAGAAAAATGGAAGAAAAAAGTGTACCTTTTTAGTGCAAAAAATATTTCAGAGTAATGTATTCATTGGGCTGGAGCAATAGCACAGCAGGGAGGGCGTTTGCCTTGCATGCAGCTGACTGGGGTTCAATTCCTCTGTTCCTCTCAGAAAGCCTAGCAAGCTACCGAGAGTGTCCTGCCAACACAGCAGAGCCTGGCAAGCCCCCCATGGCGTATTTGTGATGCCAAAAACAGTAACAAGTCTCAGAATGAGGACTTAGTGGTGCCTGCTCGACCAAATTGATGAACAACAGGACAATGCTCCAGTACTATGGTGCAATATATTCATTAATGCCAAATATGCTTGTTTTTCATAAGGTACTTTTGTCAGTTTATTATTTGAATTATAGTTTAGCATTTGAACTGTTGTTTTTTTCTCTTCCAATATTCTTTACTCGGATACTGAAAATGTGAAAATGCCTCAGATGTCCAGGTCAGCCTGCTGTTACAGGAGGACATATGTGTATATGTGTCCAGAGTTCTAGCTACCCCAGAAGGAATTTTGGCATCCTTATCTGATTACCATTAAGTCAAGAGTTCAGTGAGCAATTGCACATTCCTTTAAGCCAAGCAACTAATTATTGGTGTTTAGAATAGTTAATAGATTGCTGGGATTTTAATGTGGGAGTGAAAGCATTAAAATTGCACAAGTATATAGCATATAATTTTTCAATTCTTGTGGAAAAGAATCTTTACTTATTTGACTTTTCTAGGTAGCATCTCCTGAATAATTTCTGAATACCTGATCTTATGTCTTGCTGTGTGAAGTATTGCAATCAATTTTACAGTACGGTTTTTCTTTCCTGGCATATATTTATATACCCAAAAGTGTGTGTGTGTATATATATATATGTAAATGATAGCATTACTATTTTCTTACTGAATAAAGCAGATTCTTGATAAAAAAAATTCAGAGGAAAAAGCATACAATTTGTATTTTAAGGTTAATTCTACAGATTCTTTAAATTTACTAATTAATTTTTTTTTGGTTAAGCTACTGTAACAAAAGAGAACTTGGACTTAAATGACATAGAAGTTAGATGTTTTTTCATGTATGTGAAGCCCAGAGCAGTTAAGATGGCGCCATGGGCTTTTGGAGCCACATGGCCTGTCTTTGATCCAGGGCCATTTCAGAATGTCACTCTGTTCTTATTGTCCAAAATGGTTCATTATCACATCAGCTTTTCAACTAACAGGAAGAGGGAGAGAAAAAGGCAATTGGGGTCCAAAGCGATAGTACAGTGGGTAGACTATTTGCCTTGCACATGACCAATCCAAGTTCAATACCGCAGCATCCCATATGGTCCCCCAAGCACCACCAGGAATAATTCCTGAGTGCAGAGCCAGGAGTAAATCCTGAGCATCCCCAGGTATGACCAAAAAATAAAAAAAAAAAGGTGGGGGGATTTGGGTGACTAATCCCATCCTCTTTAAGAACATATTATAGAAATGGCACACACTGTATTTGCTCACTGACTATTGACCACACCTACCTGTGAGAAAATACAAAAACATTTTCTACATTTTGGGAAACCAAGAACCCATGTATGAATTTTTTTACTTAAGAGGAACAGAAGCAGAAGTTTCTAGTCAAGAATAAGCAAAAGCATTTTCTAAGCTTTTAGGTATTAGTTATTTTCCATTAGTGGCTAATATTCCTATTGACAGGATTATAATTCCGGTTGTTATTTTGGTTATAGGGTAAGTTTTTTTTTCTTTTTTCATTCACCCATCCAATTAGTAAAACTATTATCTCCTTTTGGAAGGGCCCAGGGCCACTCCTGGTCAAACCCTGCCAATTTGATTATCATTATGAGTGTCAGGACCTCAGGAAGTAGAGTTGCTTTGGTCACTGTGATTCCAAAGAGAAAGGGGCACCATGTTGGTGCTTTGGGACCTCCAAGACTACATCCAACTATGCTTAGGAAATCATGTGCTAGAGAACAAACCTGGGTTGAGTATATTCTAGGCATGTACACTAACCACTGTACTATCTTGCAGCTTGAATAAAGATACGATCAAGCATTCCTTTCATCACCAATATATTGGTCTCTTTAATAAAGATTGCTGTAGTATTTAGGAACTTGCATATTGATAGTTAAAAGAGTACACAACTGGACAGTATTATAAGTTCTTTGAGCCATCAAAAGTTGAATTTCTGATGTTCCACCCTCAGCCTCTTTGATCTGTAGTATCTAACTGCCTTACTTGTTTCTCAGTGTTATTCTCCAGCTTCTGGTTCACATTCACTGGTCCACAAGTGTAGAGAGGTTGAAAGAAACTCATAACTACCTTGCTTATAACGCTGGTCCGTGAACTGGTGTGCAGGATGGGTGTGCAAAGGTTGAAGAATGTCTTGCTAGTCAACATGTATCTAGCAGTATATCAGAATTGCCAATAGTTTCTCTTATGCACTTTTCCCTCAGCTTTGCTGCAGTCAAATTCATATTTTTCCTGATTTTCAGAGTGGTGATAAGACTTGTGACCTAGTACACTGATGTGCACTTATTGAGATAAGTTGCTGATTTTCCTTTGTGCTGAGTGTTTTCTTCTTATAAGGATGATAGTGACAGTGACTTCCAAGGTTATTGTGTTTGTGTGTCTAAACTGAACTCCTTTTTCCATTTTTATATTCCTAATGTCTACAACTGAGTAGCAGTTTTTTGGGGGGATGGGGCGTACACACTCGGCAGTGCTCATGGCATACTCCTGGCTTTGCTCTCAGGGGTAATTCCTGGTGGGCTCAGTTGTTCAGATGGAGTTACAGGGATCGATCATTGGTTGGCTGGGTGCAACACAAATACCCTACCCTCTGTACTATTGCTTTGTCCTGTGAGCAGCCATTCTCATAATTCTTTTGAAATCAAATCAATATACCCTATTCCCCACCCCCAATTCTCCTCATCCCTGCATTTCTCAAAAAGTCAAAGCCCAACCATCTCTGCCATCTCAGCCTCAATCTTCATCTGCACTTTACTTAATTTACTTATCCAAGTGGCTTCTATATATTCCACGTAATGGTGACTTAGGAATTTAGCACCTTTTGCTCTCCATGCTGTGTTTCCTGGGATAGTGACATCTGTCTCTCCTTTGTGGAATATTGCATTGTTAATGAAATCTGTTGAGTAAAACTGATTATCCTCCTGCATGAAATGGGAAGGAGAGATTTAGGTCACACTTAGCAGTTCTTGGTGCTACTCCCAGAAGTGCTTGGGATACAGTGCAGTGCTGGGAATAGAACCCAGTTCTTCTACACCAAAACATGCTTTCTGCCTGTTGAGCTATTTCTCTGGCCCAAAACTATTCTTTTACAAATTGAACTGTCCCTTCCGCCTCTATCTTATTTAGCATTCCTTATACTCCTTTCATCCTTCTCTTTTCTATTAATATTTTACATATCAGTATTAATATTCAACATACTGCATCGTGCATGTTTTTGCATATGCTATCTGATTGCAGTATTCTCATAAACTAGAATTTGGGACACATTCATTCAAAAGAAACAACTTTTCGTTTTTTACATGTCATGTATGCCACAACTAGAAAGGTACCTGGTGGAGAGATGCATTCAGTGAACACATGGAATAATCCATGTGAAATCCTCCTCATTCATCGATTATAATGTGTAAAGAGGTAAATTACACATGCATTAAGAAAGTATAAAATACTACATGGTTGCTTTATCAGGTCTTGATAGGTGCTTCATAAGAAAGGAAACAGAATTATGAGTGGATTCTTCTCTCACATATGCTTCCATTTGATTCAGTGTAAATCTGTTTAAGTCCTAATTTTTTATTCTTTCTACTTATGACAGGCTAATAGTACTTCTGACTACAGTTACTTCCTTAGCAATTATGAGACTGGCAGTAATCTTCCTTAAGGCAGATATTTCTTCGTCTGTTCAGTTACTTGAAACTAGCAAACAATTAGAAGCCCTTTAAAGTTTATCTTTCCTAAGGTTGTCTGAGATTACAGTAATTTCATTGACCTAGGTTGTTTCCTTCCTTTGAAAACCTTTGTAAATTTTGTGAATT